GGAAACACTGCTGGGTAAGATTGCTGAGGATTATCTGGCAAGTTTATGGCTCAGCAGGTTTGATTGCTCATATCAAATAAAATAAACCACAGTAAAGGAAGAAACTTTTCACAAAAGGAAGTTTAGCTCTACTTATGCAATATAATAATCACTTAAAGTGTAAGATAGAAAAGAGGTATATAAATATATAAATCCGTAGACAAAATTATAAATGCAATTTGTTGATCTCTTAGCTAAATGATCATTTTCTTGATCCAGACTAACTTGGCAAGTTCCATAATTTCCAGCTTACCATGGCAGACCCTCCCAACATGTCATTTAGTCAGAGTCCCCTAACTTCCAGGAGCAGCTGGTTACGCAGTGGGCACCACAGGCAGGCTGAAGGAGGAAGGCTGGAAAATTCTGTACTGCAGATGGAAAATTTAGTTTAGCTCGAACATAATGATTTTCTTGAGCTTTTAAAAAAATTGCCCTAGTTGTACAATTGCTGTTAGTCATCTATTACAGTTGGTAAACTGTTACAGAACTGATTAGATAAAATGCAATATGTGATTAACCTGCCATTGGTACCTTGCACCTGGTATGCACAACGGTCAGTATTATTACGACTAGATTTTGATATACATTTTCATTTGAAAATAGTCAACACCTCCTAAAATTTTACATTGTCTTGCCACAAGAGCAGACATGAGCAAATACTTTAGTTTAGGGTTATGTCCCTGTATAAAGAGCATTTTAAAACAGTAACCATGCAATCACAAGAGAAAATCAACACAGTAATGAGCACTCACCCCTAAATTAAATATCATTTGAGAGCTTGTATAGTACCTGAAAAAACTGTGCATCAGGTGGCTATTCTCTTCCCCTCCCCAATATATTCTACAAAATGGAGACAATGCTTTAAAGACTCACAATAAGTAACAATTAGCAAAACAACTCTGTCCAAAATTTGCTTGTCCATTGATTAAAAATTATCTAAAAGATAGCAGAAAGAAGGTAATGGGAGTTAATTACATCATAAAGAAATCATGGCGATAGATCAAGATAAGTAGTCATGTTAGTCTGTCTGTAGCAGTAGAAAAGAGCAAGAGTCCAGTAGAACCTAACAAAATCTGTGGCAGGGTATGAGCTTTTGTGAGTCACTACTCACTTCTTCAGATACAGCTAGAATGGGAGTCCATCTGTCCTATTTATTGGAAGTGGAGTTATTTCAGATGCCTAATGACATTACAAGGCAAATGACAATAAGAGGTGAATGATAATAGCAGGCGTGATTGGATTTAGGTGAACCAGTTTGGTGTAGTGGTTAAGTGTGCGGACTCTAATCTGGGAGAACCGGGTTTGATTCCCCACTCCTCCACTTGCACCTGTTGATGTGACCTTGGGTCAGTCACAAGCTCTAGCACAGCTGCTCTGAAAGAGCAGTTTGTGTCAGAGTTCTCTCAGCCCCACCCACCCCACAGGGTGTCTGTTGTGGGGAGGGGAAGGGAAAGGAGTTTGCAAGCCACTCTGAGACTCCAAGTGAAGGGTGGGGTATAAATCCAATCTCTTCTTCTTCTTCTATGTAGAGGGGTAATAGGCGGTTATCATGGTTAGAGTATTGTCTCTCATACCTAACAGATAATTTTTATTTCTCTGTCTCTAGGCCTGTGCATTATCATTTCTGTGGAAGTCATGAGGCAGTCTGTCAAAAGGATGATTGACAGTGATGAAACTATCTGGATCGAGTACTACTACTCTTGGTCTTTTGCCTGTGCCTGTGCTTCTTTTGTCCTTCTGTTCATCTGTGGGATTGCTCTTCTGTTCATCTCCTTACCTCGTATTCCCCGGAACCCTTGGGAGACCTGTATGGATGCTGAACCAGAGCATTAAATAACTTCTCAGGTTATCACTTAAGAATGATCATCCGACCCCCAGCAATCAACTATAGTTTGAAGACAATTTAAGATGACAGAAGAATTTTTGGGTGACATCTGCATGTTATCTGGGTAACATCTGCCTATAAAATCAAAGGAGAATTTCATATAATGTACTCTTTAACAAGTAAAAAGGGTTAAAGTTACCAATTAAGAGTGCAATTTTGGTAACATATACACATTCTACATAGCTTTGGGTTTGCAATTCCCCTATTGTGTACTTGAGAGATTCAGTTGTGCATAGAAGAAAAATATTGTCCAAGAAGGAAGTTCAACCCCTAATGGGGGCATAGAAAGTTTAAAAAATAGTCTTGGATGATATAAAATCATATCCTTGCTGCTGTATGCGAATGATTCAATCCTTATCTCCCATACCGAGATTGGCCTGAATAGACTGAGATGTTTTTCAAACTATTGCCTAATGAGGAGTTGCAAATAAACTATAACAAATCTAAAATCTTGCTTTTCTCTAAAAATGGCAATCTGGGTCTTTCCAAATGGACTCTAGCAAACTCAGACATTGAATAAATCAGGAATTTCTGCTACCTGGGAATTGTTTTTTTCTTCAAACCTTTCTTACCACTGTAAATTTGCTCTGAATAAGGTTAAGCCTGCTTCTGGGAGATTTCTCACTTCTTCTTTTCAAGGGGAGGAGAATATCCCCAGTGCTATTCAGGTGTTCAACTCTAAAATAATACCCCAGCTATTTTATGGTGTCACTATCTGGATTTCAGTGATCTCAGAATCTTTTGATCATCCCCTATGCCAGCTTATGCATAGGATAATAGGAATCCCCCAGTGCATCTCAAATGCATCTCTCAGAGCTGAACCCGGCCAAAAATCATTGGAAGCCAGAGCATGTTTCAGCACTTTTAAGCTAAGGCTAAGGATTCTTTTTACTTTGGAAGCTGAAGGTCTCCTGTTATTTCTTAAATGAGATGCTTAACATTCTCAATGGATGAATACAGTAAATGATAGATTAAGGCAGCTGGAATGTACAACCGAAGATTTCTTTTTGCTAGGTAAGGCAAAGACCTTTTCGCTTGTCCAGCATCGATCTACAGAGCTGGATTACAAGAGCACAGTGATTCACTCTTGCAGAGTCTGCTCAAGTCAATTCTTTGGTATCTTACCTCCTCAGGCTCCTCACATGAGATGACTAATAGCCTCCCACCTTGTTAGGACAATAATTTTAGCTCACCTTAATGCTATCCCCTCCAAAGTACTACAGGGCAAATTCTGTTGTATTCCATATTCAGATTATCTCTGCCCGTGTGGATTGTCATTTTTTACAATTTTATGAACAGTTGGATCTCACTGCTCTTAACATGTTTCTCATTTAATAAACTTCAAGGGGATAATATTCCCTATTTGATGTTAGACAGTGACCCAAACACAACCTATTTGGTTGCTAATTTCTATCATATCTTCCTTTAGTAAACAACATATTATTCTTTTAGTCATTGCTCAAGATAATCTCATCATAGGAGCTTTGAAAAGGTGGAAGAAGAAGAAGAAGATACAAGTCTAGTAGCTACTTAGAGACCATCAAGATTTTCAGGGTATATTCAGAGAGCGTTTACTCTTGAAAACTCATGCTCACGTTCAGGGGACAGAAATCAGTTTAAAATTAACAAACTAAGTGAAAATGGATGCAACCAGCATCTCTGTTGTGGGACTGTGATGGATTAGTTTTCTTTAAGCAACATTGAATTCGAGAGAAATGAAGACCCAGATAAGAGGGAAAGTAATTTCAATAAAATATAGTGAACTTCTTGGCTGTTATTTACTTGTATTGAGTGTTGGACAATCCCTACACTTCCCCCCACCAATGTCTGTTGCATTACCCATACAATTATTTTTAATGCTTATTCTTACCAGCTCGATTTTATATACCTGTAAAATAAGAGTTCTTGAAAACATCTTGATGGGTTTTGTTTATTTACTTGAACGCATGGTTTGTAAGGTACATAGAAATTGTCAGGGATCATGCTAATCCAAAAACAACAATTGCACAATATTAGATCAGCTCAGGGCTCAACTTTAAATAGACATCCCATTTTAAAGCTCTACTGTATAGGGGCCCCCAGGAGAACATTTTTTGCTATCAAAATGACACATACCTTCTGGGTGAGGTTTGCTCTGCCTGCAGGAAAAAAACCCAGGTACCATATGCACCCAACATAGCAAATAGCAGCATGGGGGAAGGATTCACTTTGTGAAAACTGAAAGAGGAAACACATCCCCTGTAGGGCCCACTGAGAAGAAGAGTCTCATTTCAGAGCAATTAGTTTTTGTTTTAAATGGCAGGAGAGCCATTCACAAATCTCATTGATAACTTCTAGTTTGGCCTTGAATTATCACAATATAGTGTGAGTACATCAGAATTCTTCTCCAGTATATGTTGTAGAAACTGGAAACATTGGACTATTTTGTAATGCTGAGAAGGTAATTCCTTTTGAATTCATGATGGTTGCTTAGAATGTACTGTGCCACCAATTCCTAGCTTGCTGTCAGCACAGATGAAACAAGTCAGCTTTTTACACACACAAACACAAATCTGTTATAAATATGGCAAACCTGTGTTAGCTGAATTGCTTTATTTACAGCAATTGGCAATTTATAAATGGGTGCTTGCCAACTATACCAAGGTCCTGTTCCCACCAAGGGTTACCAGAGAAGGAGTCGAGGCTGGTGTAGTTAAAATAAATGTCTTTTACTTAAAGAATATAAATCACATACAAACAATACTGATGCACTCACACATTCAATCAAGTTCCTTAGAAATAAAGTTGCATTAGCAGGTAGGGTGGTGATGGGCTATACTTATCTGTCTTCGCAGCTTGGTTGTTCCGATGAAGAATGGATGGGAAGAAATAGAAAACTAGGGAATTAACACACGACCAGAACCAGCCAGAACGTGTGGGCAGTGGAGGCAAGGGTTGGGGATAGCAAGAGGAGTAAAAAGCAGACAGGGGTTGTTGCAGGGGAGATGTTAGTTGATCAAGTAGGAGAGAGAGAGAGAGACCATGTGACTGGTTCTCTTCTTTTATCGGGGGATCCAGGAGGTGGGTGTTGACGGTGCCACCCTCCTGGCCCACCTCCCTGTTAGTCTGTCCCAAAAACAATCCTATTGGTTGCGTGTAGTGAGGGATGGCTACCTAGAGGGTTGGAGAATATTGTAACCTAAGACCTAACTCAAAGGATGGCATCTGGGCAAGTGTGAAAACTTGGTGTCAAGATGCTCCCTTGAAGTGCAGATGAAGCTTGGCCATTCCTCTGGTCATAAAAGGTATAAAGCAGAGATGTGGCGTGCAGTGACCACAAACAAGTCCGCAATGGAGCTGCTTCTTCTCAAGTTGTTGTTTTGCTGACAATAATGGAGATGTGTGCTTTCTCACCAGGCTGGTAGCTGTGTAGCTGAAACCTCATTCATCTGTTAAGGCTTATGCATGCACCTTCTATGTGTAGTATCACAACAGGTGACTTGCACAGCTTTCTGAGCCTATGTGGGTGTGTGTGTGCACAGTCCATAGTGTGTAGCAGCAAATATAAGTCCATAAAGCAAATATCAATCTCATTCCTTAACATCTGTGGCAGAACATTTTATTTTCCCATCATGCTTTATTGCTGACCTGAACTTTCCATTCTTCAGCAACAACAAAGCCCTTTTTAAAGGTGGTGAAATCCCTGAACTATCTGCAAATATTGCATCCAGACATCTTGGTGTCATCCAAACTGTTGCGTAGGCCTTGTGTCAGAAACCCAAGCCTGAGTCCCTCCTGGTTATTGCCCCTTGTCCCTTCAACAATACCCTGTGGGTCCTCGAGGTCAAATGCATGCAAATAAAGTAGACCTTTAAAATATAAAGGTTTATTTATAGATTTTAAAAGGTTTTACTATGCAGTACAGTCTTTATAGCTTAGAAACAGAAAATATAGAAACTAACTGTTCTAATACACTGAATACCCGGTATTCGATGGGATATCTTCTGCAGCCTAGAAGTCCAAGCAGTAGCAAAAAAGCATAAAAATTTTACTATGTAGTACAGCTTAGCAACAGAGAAAATAAAGACGCTAACTGTTCTAATACATTGAATACATAGTATTAGATGGCATATCTTCTTGCGACATAGAAGTCCAAGCAGTAGTATAAAAGTCTATACCCTTTTTGCCCTCTGGCACCAGGTGGACTCTCAGATACAATCAGGAATCTTTCTTGATGGAACTTGCCAGAAGATGTTAATGTCTGCTCCTAATT